AGATTCCAGCGTGGGAGCGAGCAAGAGAAGAAGAGAGAGAGCCGCGCGAGAAAGATCCATCGGGGTTCGTTACGAATTCCGCACGGTTTCACGCCGAACCAAATTGTTGTCGTTCGAACGATTTTCGTTTCATGCCGTTTCGTTCGTTTTTTTTCCGTCGTTCGTTTCGTGCAAAACGTTGTGTTTTTTTTGTTTTTTCGTTGTTGTTGTTGTTGTTGTTGTTATTGTTGTTGTTGTTGTTGTTGTTGTTGTCGTTGACGGCGGCGTCGGCGTCGTCGTGCGTGTTCCCCAGGTTATCGACAAGGGTTAATTAGTTTGTCGCAGGTTGCGCGCGTGTTCAGGTGAACGGAGAGGATGTCGGAGAATAGAAAGGTCGCCGGATGATGATAAACACGATGGTGTGGGTGGACGGTGACGGTGACGGTGAGACGATGACGATGGACGATGACGATTGGCGACGGCCACGATGACGAGGAGAGTTGCGGGCGGACGTCATCGTTACGGGGTCCAACAGTGTGTCCACACGATGATCGGTGAACCATGACGGATGGTGGGCACGGATATGAGGAAATAACAAGAATTTCGATTGATTTAAATTGTTCTCGCAAGAGTGTCGCACTGTGTGTGTTTTTTTTTGTTTTATTACTTTTTACTTTTATTTTTATTTTACTTTATTTATTTTGTTTGTTTACTTTTTTTTTGTTGCTCGTGTTCTTATCTTTACTCTCTAGTTCTCTTAGCCTCTACACATTTATTTGTCTGTTACTTGTTTTTGTTTTTTTTTTTGTTTTTATTCACGGTTTCTCCTCCGCCGTCTCTTCTCTTGTTCCTCGCACGAACGTGACATTTATATACAAGTACAGATCCGGTCACTGAAAACGTATCTCGTGTTACCTTTTGCTTCCTTCGTGCGTTATCGACACGCGTGTTCTCGTCTCCGTTAGAGTGTCTCGTTCCGGTGCGCTTTCGGCCGTGTCTCGAGAGTTTTTTTCCGTTTTTTTTTTATTCCGAGCCTATGTTAGCAGTTTTTTTTTTTGTTACTTGTTCGATTTTGTTATAGGTATGGTTTTGCGATTTCTAGTATCGTTTCAATTCTGTGTCGTTACATATGTTTTTTGTTATGCGTTTTTAGACGTTCGTTTCGTTACTTTTTAAGGAAGTTAGAACGAGGCCTCGACGAGGTAAGTCCCGTCCATCGCAGCCCCGGTCTGCCCCCCCTGGGCGCCCGATACTTGGGCCCTTGTCGCCGGGATGTACTGACTGTACGCCTGCTGAAATCCACACGACAAGCACACACTACATTGTTGCACGCTAGGCACGCCTACCCTACAGACTGTTCTACGGATTGGGCCTAGGTTTAGCTACTCGTGAGCCCCGCAGAGTCGTCGGACGGGTCCCCCAGGTTGCGAATTGCGTCCGCTGCAACCGGCGATCGGCCTCTGCCGACCCCACGCTACGCTATAGATCCTCTAACGCTAAACGACCCCTACGATTAGTCCCAAGGACGTGCGAACCGTTCCAACTACCGTTCAGGACGGTTTCACTGACCGATGTCCCGGCACCGATTTTCCGTTCCAACGATCGATAGGTAATTCTTAGGGTGTCCCAAAAATATCTCGTAATCCAGAAATAAGGAGTTCCTGAGGTCATTTGGAGTAACTTTTTCCTTAGCGAAAATGCGATCCGCGGCTTTGTTTACGAGTTATTGACGAAAAACGGTGACCAATAAGAAGCGAGCTCGGCTGGCGCGAGGCGGCCGAGCCAACGGCGCCAGCGGTCGAATTCCAGCTCAGCTGGCGCGAGGCGGCCGAGCCGACGGCGCCAGCGGTCGAGCGGTCGAATCCCAGTTCCGCTGATTGACTCGGACGTCTCGCACCAACTGATCACGCCTCTCCTTGNTTTTTTTTTTATTCCGAGCCTATGTTAGCAGTTTTTTTTTTTGTTACTTGTTCGATTTTGTTATAGGTATGGTTTTGCGATTTCTAGTATCGTTTCAATTCTGTGTCGTTACATATGTTTTTTGTTATGCGTTTTTAGACGTTCGTTTCGTTACTTTTTAAGGAAGTTAGAACGAGGCCTCGACGAGGTAAGTCCCGTCCATCGCAGCCCCGGTCTGCCCCCCCTGGGCGCCCGATACTTGGGCCCTTGTCGCCGGGATGTACTGACTGTACGCCTGCTGAAATCCACACGACAAGCACACACTACATTGTTGCACGCTAGGCACGCCTACCCTACAGACTGTTCTACGGATTGGGCCTAGGTTTAGCTACTCGTGAGCCCCGCAGAGTCGTCGGACGGGTCCCCCAGGTTGCGAATTGCGTCCGCTGCAACCGGCGATCGGCCTCTGCCGACCCCACGCTACGCTATAGATCCTCTAACGCTAAACGACCCCTACGATTAGTCCCAAGGACGTGCGAACCGTTCCAACTACCGTTCAGGACGGTTTCACTGACCGATGTCCCGGCACCGATTTTCCGTTCCAACGATCGATAGGTAATTCTTAGGGTGTCCCAAAAATATCTCGTAATCCAGAAATAAGGAGTTCCTGAGGTCATTTGGAGTAACTTTTTCCTTAGCGAAAATGCGATCCGCGGCTTTGTTTACGAGTTATTGACGAAAAACGGTGACCAATAAGAAGCGAGCTCGGCTGGCGCGAGGCGGCCGAGCCAACGGCGCCAGCGGTCGAATTCCAGCTCAGCTGGCGCGAGGCGGCCGAGCCGACGGCGCCAGCGGTCGAGCGGTCGAATCCCAGTTCCGCTGATTGACTCGGACGTCTCGCACCAACTGATCACGCCTCTCCTTGGTCACTGTTTTTCGTTAATAACTCGCGAACGAAGCCGCGGATCGCATTTTCGCTAAGGAAAAAGTTCCTTCAAATGATCTCAGGAACCCTCCATTTCAGGATTGCAAGACATTTTTGGGACATGTAGACTTCAACACGATCGACGCTCTTGTATGTTCAGCTATCGAGTGCCTTGCTCTCTTCTAGCATTTTTTTACGCGTGTTTAAATGTCTCTATAATTGTAAAAAGGTGCATTGTTATACCCGGAAGAGCCTGGGGAATCATCCCAGGCAGGAATAATTCGCGTGGCTTTTGCGATTGAACCCGAAAAAGTTCCGAGATTTGAAAATGAAGGTATCGAAATCTACAAGAATCGTCTACCGGTTGTCGAAACGAAAAAGGAGTTCGGTGTACGGTAAATTCTCCCTAATTGACGCTCAGACTGTGCACAAAAATGGACCATTTGGGAAGAGAAGATACGATTATTCGAGCCCTGTACCTCGTTTTTATAATCGTTGACGATCCGCAAGTATAAAAACGAGTCGCGAGGCTCGAATAATCGTGTCAGCTCTTCCCAAATAGCCCATTTCCGTTTACAAGCTGAAGGAAAATTAGGGAGAATTTACTGTACCGGGATTTTCTCGTGCTGCCAGTGTTGGTGAGGCTGTTCACTGTCGTCGGTGAACGCAAAGAACTCGGTTTACTATGTTACGTTTCTAACATCGACGATGTTTAAGGAAGAAACCTACGGACCCCTGACTTCATTCAGATTTCGATTAGCATAGATCGTTTTCTCCGGAACGAGTATTTATTCGAGATAGTCATGATTGGAATCACCGCTGTAATTTCACAAATTTTCAAGTTATGTTTCGAACGAACGAAACGTTTCGTTAAACTTACGCGTTACTCGCGGACATCTCTCACAGAGAGAAATCTGAATTTATTCCGCGTGCTAGAGCAAGCGGAAAACGAAAAATTTCACCGCTATTCAAGATCTCAGTCCATCAGCGATCCAGATAACGCTCGCTTCGAAGGGATAGAATGTATAAATCACTGATCTACGCTAGATCCTACGCGGTCATGGCTGTCAGGCACCCTAAAACCTCGATGTCGCGTGTCGAGGCAGTTGGGGCGGATGTGAAAATCGTAAAACAGCTATCGTCGAGAGCCCCGGCTCTCGAAGGTGCTTCTACCTCGGCACCGTGTGCCGATGCTCGATCCATCGATCGTGATGTATCTAGAGCTCTAGGAGCTTCCATTAACCTCAACAGTTCGTCGTGTTTTTCTGTCGAAAACCTCCGCTTGCCCGTACGACGTTCTATAACTAAACGAGCGCGAGCTATGGGTGTCTAAATCGCGATAGTGCGTGGGTGGTACCTCGATCAGCGTTTGTTTTTGTTCGTTCTCTCCGCTGGATTGTTCCCTCCCGGAGTAACACGAGATTCGATTTTCGCGACCGTTGATTGCGCGCGTTGGCCAACTCGCCGGAATCACCGAGTCGGCGCTGAATTGGCTCGTTTAATTAAATCTAATTAATTCGTGTCACGGGCGGCCGTGACGCGGACGGTTCCCCGAGCGTCACGATCCCGGGGAAACGAGATCAATCGGACGGCTCAAGGTCGTTTCCCGTTAGAGATCGATGCTGCACGCGTCCTTGAATTATTCAACGTTTTTTTTCAGTTCCGTCCGATTTTTTTTAACGAGCCGACAATCTTTCCGCGACACGCCGAGCTGCTTCCGCGCCTTGGGGATCGACATTCTGCAAAATTTTAACCGTTCAAATTGTTTGCGATTCGCACATTTCGATCGGTGTTTCGAATCTTTGCTAATCGCGAGGCGTATCCAGAAGCCACCATTTTGATACGATCAGATCGTGGTTAGAAAAAAATGTACATTTCTGAACGCGAGAAATGTGAAATTGGCAGTCATTTATCGGCAAGT